ATTTTCGCCTGTTTATGAGAACACCATCTTACGAATTTACCAAAACTTAAGACACAGATCACTATATAAGACGGCTTGGGCTATTCCTAAGAGGGACAGATCTTCGATCCTTTGGTGGCAGCATGTGACGTTGTCGCGAGAAAAACCCGATTAGAATGTTTTAAGAAATCAAAAATCTACCCCAACTCCCACGGCCGGCGAACACTCCCAGTGACTTTGCCTAGGAAGAAGAAATGTTTCGCAAGGTCGAAATGAAACATGTTTGGGGTGATGTTAATCAGTTGGATGCCTCATCATGACTGAAATGTCGTGCAAGCATCCCACCCTGTCGACATGATCTCGTACTATCTCGGAAATGATTTCGTCCTAAGGAGGAGACCGACATATGAGAACTTTACGAGTACACTCGTTTCCTTCGTTTCTGGCGCCCTATTTCGCTTCAACGCATTCTCCCTTCAACAAAATAACGATACCTGGAATTGGGCGAAGTGTGCCCTCGAAGAAAAGGGAGCCGCTCACTATAGTTGGTAATTACCGATCTTTGTTTATGTAACAATTTAAAAAATCTGTATGATATTTATCTTGTTCGACTTTATAAAGAACTCAGTCGAGTTCATTCTAACCGCAATTTCGGGTAATACTTTGAAATACAATGTTATATAAATGTATTTGGAATATAACTCTAATGTCCGTCAGGTACCGTACCGTACAATGAAAACTATTCAGCTAAGGCAATGAACACTGGGAATCTTTGAAAAATACAACAACACATGTAAACAGAAGAACAAGTTGCAAAATCGGACATTATTTCATAACAATGAAGGGCCTCATCAGGTATTCCGAATCTCAGCTCAGCTAGGTTCACAGTGTCAGAGAAGTATAGATCAATAAGACGAACTTCAGGTGATATGTGAAAATGGCGATAATCTATCGGATTTGGTGGTCTGCTGTGAGTTCTGGAAGGGCTCATCTATCCCAGGGATTTCCTACTGGGTTTTGCTTTTCCCGGCCGATTCTATGATAAGAGGAACACTTCAACAGAAGAAGATTACTAAGGGGTTAGGGGAAGGAAAACAAAAAGGGCAAGGAAGTATCACGACTGAGTGAACGATTCCCGTTTTCATTGAGCTTGGAGCCCTCTATCCCACCCGAGGCAAATGGTCCGTATGTATGGGAAATTAGAAAAAGTAAGACAATGTTGTGTTGGGAGACTGTTACGACCAGACCAAGAGGATCCCAAGCTAATGCAGATCCGCACTGAATGACACTGTGAACTTCGGCTGAACATATCCCAAATCAGAAGAAAGTGGATCCATTAGTGGACGTCTTAACGGCCCCTTCGTTAGCCGAGTGATTAGCGACAGTCACGCTATATACCAAGGGTTTCTAAGACATTACACTTCTCAAGTCTCAATGAGGCCAATTTTTGAATTCCCTCCGTCAGATATCGTAAACGACACTAGGCACTACATCTAGCCTAATAAAGCGCTATTATTCGAAGGTTTCAGAAATAGTTCACCCGCCTCAGAGAAAAAAGTCGATGATACAAACCACTTGCACCTCTCACAGGAAGAAAACGGTGGTGACGCCATCGAGGTGAAAAATTGAAAAAAAATGAAATGTCATTTCGTGATATGAGCAACGTGCGTTGGACGGATGGCACAGGTCACAGGCAACACTGAGCACGTGGTCAGTCATCAGGTACATAAAACAACGGCTGTGGAGTCGCAGTAACTGAAGTTCGAAGCCAGTGGATGCAGTTCGGTGAAGTGCCCAGTCGTATCGTATCCCTTCTAGGTCCCGAAAAGTCGTGTATTTCAATGGAGATGGAGCAACTACGACCTAACAATCGCCAGCAAATCTGAAATAAATGGCTGATAATGGATAAGGTGACGAGGGATCCCAGCTTTCAATCAGTTTTACAAAGCCGTCTTCATTTCATACGTTCACGGTTTCCAGTCGAAGAGGTTTGTACGATGCACAGTTCTTAGAAAACAAAAGCTTTGGCGTTAATCAATCTCATCTGAAGACTGCGTCCCGCGCTCGACTTCCATTCAGAATGATATAGAATGCGTATGTGGCATATACAATGACTTGTGGTGGCTAGCCGATGTACAAGTCAGTGCTTTTATCCTCCCAAACGAGTCTGGTATCAATTAAACGACCTCGGAGGATGGAAAGCTCTGTGGTTCTAGGCGTATATCGATCCGGATTCGAGCCCGTGGCCATGCGTTTGAGAAAGTGCGCCGCTTGTCACTACACTACTTCCGCCCGGTGCGAGGTAGAGGAACAAAAAATTGTTCTTCCTTCAGGGATTATGCTCGGAAACCATGAAGAAAAACCCAAGTCGTTTTTATTAGAGGGATAGGAAAAGTAGAAAGCTACAACACACCTCATCTAGAGGCAGATTTCGTTCAAAATGCTTCATGACATCAGCAGAGGAGTCCAACGTAAACCATGAACACCTTGGATCACCGGCCAATTTCTCATTGTAGACGTCTCGTGCAGTGAGCACTACCAAAAGTGCCAGACCGCGTACTTCTGCATTCGACACTGCTAACGAACGTGACGGTTTCTAAAGAACACGATTTCACATAATAAAGACAACCTGAATCTCCTTGCTCTGAATTTAAAGTGCTACTTCTTTAATCCGGCTCCGTAATCTTTAATCGACCTTTTCGAAGCCCACCTACTTTTTTGGGAGCAAACTATGTTCAGTTATTCAGCTAATCTCAGCTAATCTACCTTTTAAAGAGAATTAACACCAAGCTGGCTTCGATCAACTTTAGTCTTATTTAACGTTGTTTGAAAAAAAACAATTACCCCCAATTGCAACTCTGAAATGAACCGCAAATGATGGATAATTAAAAAACTTTGAGCAATCGTCAAACATGCAGGTTAACAGGAAACTGATTTGTGCTGTCGAAAAACCAATTTTCTTGTGTGTTACAAGTACGAAGTCTTTAGCCTTAGTAGTCGCCATGTTCGACTCTCGATGAACCTCAGCATGACTCCAATACAACTTAATTTTATTCAAACAGAACACGAGGTTAAATATTACAATTTCGTCGGCTAACGTTTCGGCGATTCTCGCCTTCTTCGGAACCTAAAAAGGTGGAAACCAGTCTATGAGTTCACATATGTAAGTCACTGCTCCTATCCCCCTTGGCGAGGTGGCACCGAATAACTGACCAGGGAAGGGAAAGCTTGGTTGGCCCAAGCGGATATCGAGCCGTGATTCGAACCCGTGGCAGTGAGTGTGTGATACTGCGCCTCTTGTCGCTACACAACTTCCGCCCTCTTTGTAAGTGACAGTCATAAATTTTGATATACTTTCAAGTACAATTCGTCGTTGAAAGACTTTATAATGAAAAATCTATACAATTGAATGATTTTTCGGAACCTTGGGCTATGATAGCATGCAAAATATTTCCAGAAAAATAAGATAGCTTGGCTATAGAGCAGTTATCTCATGCGTCACTCAAAAGGGTGAAGGTTAAAGTCTTTTCGCGCTAATCAATTTCGTCTAAAGGATGCGCCGCCATATTCGACTATCATTCAGAATCGCAGTGGCGTAATGAATGCGTATTTATTTATTTATTTAATACACCCAAGGGTGTGCCATACAAACGCAAAAGCAAAAACCGAAAGGCGATGATCCTTTAAAAAGGGGAAAAATGTGTATACATTAGCTTAAGAAAAATTTGAGGAAAACGCCAGAGACGGAAGCAAGAAACTAGTAAGGGA